TATCTATCTATAAATATAAATATATATATGCAAAATATGACCTCTATATTAATATCCATAAACCCATTGACCATAAAAAAACAATAACAATTTGTCTGAATGAGAACATGTCATTTTTTTCAACCGTCAAACATCAATTATGAGCTCACCAGAATCAAAATCATTCTAAAGAGGATCTGGATTTTATTGGTCACTAGTGCGCATGGACCTGATTGGTCAAGTGGGCACAAACATAAATCTCATTGGTCGTTGTTGTAAGTATATCGTCCTCTTGAGAGGTTTGTTTCATTCCTTGAATCTGTTTTTCAAGGAAAACTTAAACAATGCTGTGTAGGAGTATTTACGAACCACGATAAATGATTATTCCGATTTTAAAGGGGGAAGAATCGTTTTTGTCATGTGGGACAAATCGTTAATAATAATAGGCATATTTCCACGAATATTGTTATTTTAAGCCTATAGTCGGACTGTCGGTAACATTCATAGTTTGCTATCAATTCTGCATGTTATAGTGAATCACTAAGAAGAAGCACCGACTTCATCTATGAGATTTTGGTCGATTAAGACATAATTTGAACATTAAAGTTTAGGAACATTTCGTCCGTTTTATAACATTTTCGTCGATGGAAACAGAAACAGTCATTGTTTGTAAGGCACAACACAATATCAATTTAAAATGATCACACAGACGCTTATACATACTGTTTCTATACAATGAAGATTAAATGGAGGAACTAGAGCGAATGTAATGGTACAGTGTTAAAAAGGTTAGGACACTAGATCTCGAAGGCACTATTGAAATTATATAATTTTTGCCTTCTGATCGCAATTATTTTTCCTAATTTTATCTGTTAATCAAATATATGTCTAAAGCCACATTTACATTAGACACGATTACGACAACAAATCACGTAGTTTTTGTATTCTTCAAAACTGCGCGCATCTGTGTATCGTGTCGTTGTCGCGTCGTAATCGTGTAAATGAGGCTTCAATCTGCATTCACACCGAATCCGAATTTTCTGATAGGAAGGCTAAAGCCCGGCATTGACTACGTCGGCCGACGAATCCAACTCAGCCTCTGTGATCGTTAGACGACGCGACGCCGTCTGCTAATTGTCAGTGGCAGTCTGAACGGATCGTCATAAACGATCCGTTCCGTTGCGCGCGCGTCGTTTCGTTCTCCATAGATTCGCGTCGGCCGGCGACCGTCGGATGCAGTGATGCCCAACTTTACTGAACCGATCAGAAAATCAAATTAGTGGGTAAGAATAGGGACGCTGGCGTTCAGCGCATCGGAAACGCGGTCCGCCGATTTCGGTTCGGATAAGATATGGATGTAGCTTAACTCAAATGCACCACCTTTCAGATAATGTCTTCATGCTTCCCTCGTTTACTGTAGCGGTACCCGTGTAGAAGTTATATTATAACGGTATGTAGGCCTACCCGCTGGATTTACGATAGAAGAAAAGAACGGCTATTATTTGCACTGACCTTTGACGTTTATCTTCGTCATCATTATTTAGATCTTCCAATTCCATTTTTTCCACATCATCATCCTAGAACAACCAAACCCAGTGAGATATCATTTTATAAAATTTGAAAATGAGTTCAGCTAAAATTAAAAGCTGCTTGCTGTAGTAGTAGCATTCGTTTTTTAAATTTGTATAATGTTAGGTGCGCCTTTGGGGATCTGCTCATGTGTGGCAATCAGTGATCCCTCACTGAGCAACCACTGATTGCTTTCGTACTCGTGTGTCGTCAAGCTTGATGTCCATAAAATCGCTACGCGCTATTGCCGATAACTTTCGGGGACGCTGATGGTCTGTCGAATCGGAAAGCCTCACCGATTTCATGGGACAGCTTCGCAGTGCAACAATAGTTACGAAGATACTGTAGCGATTTTATGGAAACTAAGTTATAAAATGACGTGATTTAGTTGTAGACGTGCAGGTCATCGCACGCGAGAATGTTGAGTTATTGAAACGACGACACTTTGAACACTTTATGCCTACCTTTGATTCGATTTGATTGATAACGGCTTGAACTATCGGTACCATCATGGCGGTGGTTGCAGTATTACTAATCCACATTGATAAAATTGCAGTTGTCAACATAAATCCAAACATCAGCCTGTAACAAGCACATTATATCCAATAGCAATTACTAGTACTGTATTCAAATGTTATATTTTTTAACGTTATGAAACAATTTACAGTGCACCTCCAATTAGAGACCACTCTAATTCGAGACCACTTTATAACAATCTTCAAACTTTTAACACAAAGCCCTCTAATTGAAGACCAAATCCGAGACCACCCCACATTTTTAGGTCCCAAAGCTGGTCTCAAATTAGAGGGTGAACCGTATAACTTTAGCGCGCAATACATAAAGCCTAGTAATTTCATACATAGAGTGATGGTGGCTGTCTTTATGCGCTCGAATCGCTGAATGTCTGCTCGCCTGACGTACACTGTCTCAGCTGGAGGTCGGCTGACAAATTAGTCCGGGCGGCGCACTGTGCGTTGAAGAAATTCGTCGAACACAGACGCATCGCCACGTCGCGGTTTTCGTAAGCTTGTTTTCCATACAATCGCTAAACAATATCGCCGACAGCTTTTGGTGATGCTGATCGGTCAGTCGAATCGGAGGGCCTCCCCGATTGCGCCTTAACTGCTACGCAGTAAATATGACTGCACTGAAGACACGTCCTGTAGCGATTTTAAAGAAACCAGGCTTTATGCGCACGCCTGCCGACGCCGATGTAGTGTGCTCAGTGCCAGTGATGGCGCAAGTGAAGAAGCTCGTGAAACTCCCCTAGACCCGCCAGAGTGGTTCTCCGCGACAGCTGGCTAGGACCCCTTTAGGAATCTCGCCCGTGCCCCTCCGCCAAATTGGGCAAATCTACTGGCACCCCCTCTGCGTAGAGTTAAACGTCTCGCTTCTTAAAATTACAATTAAAATGCAATTAGAATACGCACTACGGCACTGATTTTATTGTTAGATTAATAGGTCTTTGCCTACCTGGGACTTGCTTATACGTCAAGATCCCATGATCTATCATGGTTAAGCCACCCTACTTACCATTTTGGCTTAGCTCCCAAGAACAGCAGAACTCTCAGGGCTATTCTTTTGTGGAGGTTTGTATCTTCAATTGCGACAGCGACCAGCAGACCTCCGACAAATAGAAAATTCAGGTCTTTCAGATATTGGGCGCACACAGTACTTGATGGAAGCACGCCGAACACTGGGAATAATACTATCGGAATGAAGGCTGTGGCAGCTAGGGGCATTGCTTCTGTACACCAATATACTGCCATGATCACTATTACATAGGCTGTATAGGCCTCCTAAGTAATAAATAAAAACATATATGTAACAAATATATATGTAATATATGTAATATTATTCACCCCCACCACCCTAGATCCGCCACTGGTTGTCTCTATTAATATTCGACGTTGTAGGCCCTGTAGGCAAGTAAACCATTTCAAAGGCTTTAGGTTGTACACGCATAATTTTTCTATATGATTTGGTTACAAATACTTGTAAGCATTAAGCTACTTACCGAACTCTGAATCCATACTGGAATGGGAGAAAATATGACGGGAGTGAGGAATAGGATTAAAAACCGACGGATTTGCCAAGCTTGTCGTAAACACTCCATGTTAGACACTGCTACACTGCTAAATAAGAAACGTATGAATACAGACTGCCAATGGTTGGAACTCTTCCGGAAATGAAAAAAAAGTAAACAATAAGGACACAAACTTAGATGTATTGTCTAATTCTGACCTGGTTGAATACAGGGATTTGTGCTTTCTTTAAATTTGAGAGCCTCTTTATGTACAATTCAATAGTGACAATCGATAGTGAATTCGGCAGCACCCAGCCCGAATTGGTGGACTGGGAGGGGATTCTGTGAACCGGCCTTTATTTTCAGAAGAAAAGGATCACACCATTGTTAACCTCTGCCTGGACTATAAAATATTATACTGTCGTACTTTTTACACGCACATATAGTCATACTGTACCTATATATGGTGATGATGTGATGTCATTATAATCATATTCAGGCTGGTCTAAACATTCGTAGTCCTAGGTTTAAGATCAAAAAACACTTGTAGGCCTATTAAGCCGGGCATCATTATTTATCCCCAATACAGTTAAGGCAGAAATTCTAGATGGCGCTATTTAAAGTAATTTATGTGAACTGACAGGGGCAGATACAGGATTTAGCAAAAAGGGGGGGGGGCGCCAAAGTAAAGATGGATGACCAGCCAAGGTACTTCTAGAAAACATGATGAAGTTTCTCAGCAACATTGAGCATAAACATTACAAAATCAGCAAAAAGGAAAACTAATATCTAAAATCCGTTAAAAAATTCGTCAAACAACAAAATCCGCTACTGTATATTAACATTGAGTAAATTACAAGTGTTCTATTTCTCACCAAGTGGATTTATGAATAGCACTCGCCTAGGGTGTTTTTGGTAGGAAAAGAAGACTTAAACACTGTGGGTGTAATTTTTTCTTTTGCAAAAAATAGGGGGGGGGGCGTACGCCCCTTACTCGCCACGCGTCCTAAATCCGCCACTGGAAATAGGCCTAGGCCCTAGGTTTATGTAGGCCTATACTTTGTTTCATGTCAATTAGAGACAGGATTATACAATTTCATACAGTATATCTGGTAAACGTATACACATGATTAAACCAGGTACTGTACTTGAAAACAATAAGGAAGCAAAACTTACACGTCAAAAGTGTCAAATGTTGTCTACACAAAAACTTTACTTTATTAAAAGAGTAAGTCTACTGAAGGGGTGTCGTCAATGGAGATGTGCACACATATCAGTGTACTGTGGTCACTGTGCATGGGGTTGTCTGACAGCACCTCGATAGAGAGTGACTGATTGCACAAAGGTTTCCATGCTGGTGCATCTGCTTGAACTGTCTTTGTAGCTATGCATTGCGCGATGTGACATATAATCAACCTTTCTATGGAATTGTGTATCCATTCAATTATCTCAATTTTTTTTTGTGATATAAGGGGTGGGGGGTCGCAGGCTCCCCCTAAATCCGCCCCTGACTGATAACATGAATAATGCACACTTGACTTCTCCCTTGGAGTTGCGAAAGCAGTGGTCGCTGCGTATGGATGAAAGAATATGAAAGCTACGGCGTATATGGTTAGGGTATCAAAAATATCTGGGTAGTCGGTCTAGTGTAGTCAACACAGTGAACATTAATGGATTATTATTATAATAATAATATCCCTATGCCTATGGTCTTTGAAAGTATACACAGCAGCGTTGAATCTGGTCCGTTATTTGAGTAGTAGTAGATATACTGTTGCATACACACTAACTGCTATCTTATTCTGAAGGATAAAGTTTAAAAATGCTCGGACAATTCTATGTATTGTTTTAATGTTGATTTTTCACAAACATTTCGTTCATATGCAATATGAATAAAAGTAAAAGGTATAATTTGCAAGCATATATAAACATTAATTGTACCAAAACTGTCGATATTCTATACACTGACTAACGTATTGTTTATTAAAGGATGTCTACCCAATTGAAAAAAAATAAATACTGTAGCTCTATTAAAACGATAAAAAACAGATGGAAGTAAAAAAATAGTTTTCACAGATTTACATGCGTATTCATGTAGGCCTATATTCACCTATCTGACCTAAAATAGCGCCCTCTAACAATTCTGCCTTAACTGTATGGGGAAAAACAAATCATAATGCTGCCGGCCACTAGTGACTGCGTCCGACGGTCGTCGGCCGACGCGATCCTATAAAGAGGAACGCAACGCCACGATGCGCACGCAACGGATGGTTTTTAATGACAATCCGTTCAGACTGCCACCGACAATCACCAGACGGCGTTGCGTCGTTTAACGCTCACGGGGAGCGGAGTTGATTTCATCTGCCGACGGTCGTGTTTGAAATTCATCAGCAATGTGGTTTGTTAAATCTACCAAGGCCGATACGATACCGTAATTATTTCAGATTTAGTCCAGCTTTGTAAACAGGAATGACTTTAGCTTGTTTAAGTTCGTTGAGAGTTTGAAATATTAAAAATATCATACCGTAAATGCTCAAATAAGCACCGCGGCGCTTATAACATTTTTGGAGGCTTCGGTGCGGTGCTTATTCAAGAGCGGCGCTTATTCGAATGCGGTGCTTATAAAAAAAGCATTTGCGTGGCATGTATCTAATTCACGTATTCGTCTCGTACTGGTAGACCTATCATAGGTCTGTCTCTTATACACATCTAGATGTGTATAAGAGACAGGGATTACTATCAACAATGGACCACTAGTATAGTAATTCAATTTCTTTGAACTTAACTATAAAAGATCATTTATATCATGCATACTACCAAAAGTAAAACACAAAAAGACATTTAATAGTATATGAATCTTAATCAATGTTAATTTGATATATGAAAGAGCATAGGGCAGTACTTTCATTTAGTTTTGTATTACTGCCTGTCTCTTATACACATCTAGATGTGTATAAGAGACAGCCACTGGGGTGATATAGACCCTCGATTAAGCACCGCGGCGCGTATTCGAGAGCGGCGTTTAGCGAAAATAATCAGGTTTGGTGCGGCGCTTATTCGAGCATTTACGGTAAGGGTTTAGAAATAAAATTACACACGTTTAATGACACGAGTATTAAATTTGTCATTGCCCGGTGCCTTATCTTTAAATGACATAATAACCTTAACCAACTCAGATTCATAAACGGGACTTAAAAACATGAGTTAATTACATGACCTGGAAGATATTATCTTAATAAAGATTATTAATCTTTAAAACTAGAATTAGGATTGGTATTATCAATTTTGCTTGCAAAGGTAGGACCAACTTCAACAAAAAAAATCGTTAAAACAATTTGCAATCACAATTGGGTCATTTGACATTGACCATTCCAATTAATACTATTTGGAGATTTTAGAGTGTTACTCTTATTGAGTAGTGAATTTATAATATTCCATGTCCTTTTTGCTTTTTATATCATTTGTAATTTGTTGAAATTTATTTTTAAAACAATCAGAATTGGAACTTCGAATAACCTTTTAGGATATTTTTAAAACTTATGTAGGCCTATATATTTTCTCACTTTTAGCCGTTGAATTATTTAAGAATCCGGTATATAGTTTGTGTTTATGCCTAATGGAATTTAATAAACCTTTAGCGATCAATGGTTTAATTTTATATTCTAGATTAATGCTGAAGGGGAAAGCAATGGTTATATACAGTTTTTAAGGAAGTTTCAAAATTGTTGTAAACAGTATTTTGATCATCAGATAACGTGACATTATCCCAATTAACTTCCTGAATACAATCTCTAAACAAATTAGTATTCCGTTGATTTATATTTCTAAAATGAGAGCAATTAATATTATATTCAGCTACGAATTGTAGAAAAAAAAATGTGACAACCCACCTACTTAAAAACAGCACACCAACCAACCAACCAACCAACCGGAAATGCATTTTGTATTAGACGTATACCTGTCCTTACGTCTTCTGGTTAATATTTTACTTTTATAGCTGACAAAATACACCAGGTATTGGTGTTGAAATGGAAATATTATGCAAATAGACAATTGTTCATAGCGTCACATGTTTAAATATAAAGATGCATTAAAAATATTACCAATAAGTTCCCAAAAACTAAAAAGTTAGTAGATATAAATCACACTGCTATTATTATTTGCCTACTATATACAGTAAACTTATTCTTTTAAATGGTCCTCATATCCACACCCTCCTTCGGATAGTGACAAAAATTGAAACATTTTTTTTTTATTAAAACATGGCAAAAGTATTCTGCCAATTGCCATTTTCATCCATTGATCCATTTTCGAGATATTCAGGTCTGGGACATAATGGCTCTCAAATGCACACCACGAATTTGGATCGTCACTAACACTTCATATTTTCTTCCTTGTAACTTGGTTAAACTTCCAAGAAAGTTTCATTCAGATCAGTTGATTGGTTTTTCTGGTCGGGGGCGTCATTCTTTGAATAGTCCTCATATGCACACCCTACGCCGGATGGTCACCAAAATTTAATCACCTCATCATTGGGTCATACTTAACAATTCCTGTAACTGCCATTTTAGATCTGTGCAGCTGTTTCTGAGATATTTTGAACAAAAGAAACACACAGGACCTTAAAATTGAAATCATCCTCAAGCTCACCCCCGAATTTGGATCGTCACCAACACTTAATAATTTCTTCCTTGTAACAACTTGGTTAAACTTTCACAAAAATTGCATTCATACAGAACACTCCCTGTTATTTTCAGTTTATAATGCCTCCATGCTTAAACAAGTTATGATTAGCCGTTGACTCCGATCTTATCCGCCCTTTGTTGAGCTGTTGGTTTGTATTACTGCTGGGTGACCATGACACCCTCTCCTCAGCATGCAGCCAGCCACTAAGACACACAACTGAGTGGGGGTTGTCGGTTTAGTCGCCGAAGGCTCGACCGGACAGAGTTTAGTGCCGTACCCAGGGCAGACTTTAACTACTTTAAGCTACGCTTCTTATCTACCTTAAGTAACAATTAAATACTGCAAACTATACTGTTGGTAAAAACCAGGAAACAGTGAACTATCACCCGCCGGACCTCATCCTGGTATTTTCGGAGCTGTTTCATTTAATACAAAAAGGAGCTACCGACATAAGCAGTTGTCAAGTTAAACTAATCCGTTTTGAAAAGAAATATTTAAAAAAAAAAGCTGAGATCTAAATTAATTTATAAAAGTATGGATGGACGTTAAGCAATCATCGTTCTATTTCATCACTTATTTTTCAGCACTTTCATTCATTCAAAACTATTTTTTAACCAACACTTTATTGATAATTTTATTAGAATTTTTTTTGTTGAATTAAGATAGTAGGCTAATATAGGCTCAGGGTCCATGCTATAAACATTGGTCGTAAATCAATGCATCCCAACAACAGGTGAGTTTCTTTGTGGTTAACTATTTCTTGTTAGAAGTCACTTAGAATGTCTTAACATTAGGATCTAGTTGATAAAAAATTCACAAGCTATAAACTTTCTACGTAACGATTGTTGGAAATTTATAACCTTCGCGAGGGACACGTCGGCTAAGAATGACGTCGCCCCTGGGAGATGACACGTTGTACACGCAATTATAACATCGTTAACTTCTACCACCAATTGTTTTAGGCCAGCTATAAAAGGACCATGTGAGCTACACATGGTCTTATACTTGGACGTCAGCCTCCGATTAATCCACGCCAAAGATGAACTCGATATTCTTAACAAACGCAGTAGGCTTACTGTTCTCCTTATATTTGTGCATATGTATACTACTACTCCCTGTATATTGTGCGCCGGTTATTTCAACAATACCGTCTGCATTATCGACAGAAATGACAACTTCGACGTCTATACCATCATCGCTAGTAGTGACATCTTTATTGTCACCACCGTTACCAATGGAATTGGGGGAAAGAAGGTTCAGATACGTAGATAACATACTCTTCACAAGCCTGTTAACGAACTGTGCTGCTGAACCTTGTAAAATAAAAATGTCTCATTATTCACGTTACTTGGTTTTTAATTCTGATGGCTCAGTTACTTCAACTAGAAATTACAGTAATGCATGTAAGTATACGATGTTATTTTAAGTATAATTTGGTTTTCTCTTCAAATGTTTGAATAAAACCCCTATATGAAGTTCTAGTATTACGCAGTATATATATACGGTGTATATATACGGTGTATATATATGTATATATATATATATATATATATATATGTATATATATATAATCATCATCAAAGAAATGTAAACAGTGTTAGAATATATAGGCCTATATATATTTGTTCATATTTATATATCAAGAAGGTTAAGGTATGTAAATATAATATGATTATACTACGGTCTAATTATATTAAAGCAATAAAAAATCGAAACTTCAACAAGTGGGTCAGACTAAATTATGATATATTAAATGTGCCGATTCTAAGATAAAATAAAATAGACTTAGATAATTATAAATTCGATTATTCAATATTTTTGGTGGCTAACCTTATAATTTGATTCATGTTTTGAGATATATAACATATAATATATATGTTATATATTGTATGAATATGTTTGATTGTTTTTAAATGATAAATGAATAAGCTATAGTTGTAGGTCCTTAAGTGCCGAACAAAACATGTAATTAAACATTTAAGTGTTTTTATTCTTTATTTAAAAAAGCACAATATAGAATAGTAGTGGTGCAATAAATATATAGAATAAATGCAATACAATCGATAAATATTATCTTCTTCAACGATGTTTCCTAAATTATTATTTAATATTAAATAATCATGTATTGATGATTGCATTAATTTTCACAAATTTTCACTCTGCCGGTGATGTTAAATTATATTTTTGTAAAATTATTTGAATATTTTAATTCCAATGTAATCATTTTAGGCGATAACTGCATTGCGACCCTTCAGATAAAAATCGCCTTCAACGTCTTCAAAATTCAGCTGCACGTATTCTGACTCTTACTTCTAGACGCTCACATATATCACCGGTAATTTATCATTTACATTAGCTTGGTTCACATCGGTTATTGTCGACATAAGTAGATAAACTATTGAACAGCGCTACACTCCTAATTGCGTTCGATGGTCCGAATTATGTCGAGATACCTTGCTGGACCAACTACGCTCACGAGAGCGGCGGTTGTGATCCCGGTGTGACAAAGATCACGCATTCGTACAGCCGTTTGCTCATGAATGGTAGCTTTTTGTCTGTACATTTTATCTTCCACCAAATGTCAATAAGATCGAATTCTTCTTCATAAGTCCAACAATGTCGCTTTTGGCGTACTTTCTCGGTCATAATTGATATAAAGATCTAAGCTAGGCCTACACCTGTCTCTTATACACATCTAGATGTGTATAAGAGACAGTATATATATATATATATATACACACACACGTTTTCGGTTATCAATCTTTGTCAAGCTCATATATATATATATATAATCATCAAAGAAAGGTAAATACAGTATTAGAATAAAGGACATAATAATCAACTCGGGTAATAGCCTTGTTCGACTCATTATGTTTGATTTATTTAAGTGCTCTATTTTATATAGAAAATGGAGTGAGCTATTATTTTAACTAATTTAGGTCTGTTTTTAGACCATTTTCCTTTTTTATTTATTATACCTGTAACCACTACGGACTTCTTGTCTGAAATAAAAGAAATGAATGAAATGAAATATATATATAATATATATAGGCCTATATATATTTGTTTATATTTATATATCAAGAAAGTTAAGGTATGTAAATATATTATGATTATACTACGGTCTAATTATACTAAAGCAATCAAGAAATCAAAACTTCAACAAGTGGGTCAGACTAAATTATGATAGACAAAATGTGCTGATTCTAAGTTAAAATAAAATAGACTTAGATAATTAAAAATTCGATTACTCAATAAATTTGGTTGCTAACATTATAATTTTATTCACGTTTTGAGATAGGGCCTATATAGCATATAATATATATGTTATATATTGCATGAATATGTTTGATTGTTTTTAAATGGTTAAGGAATAGGCTATAGGCCTAGTTGTAGGTCCTTAAGTGCCGAACAAAACATGTGATAAAACATTTAAATGTTTTTATTCTTTAATTACAAAAGCACAATATAAAATAGTGGTGCAATAAATATATAATATATAATATATAATATAATAAATAAAAATATATAAATTCTTCCACGATGTTTCCTAATTTATTATTTAATATAAAATAATAAACAGCTTTAGTTTCATTTAGGTCAGGAACGTTCCGGCTGGCAAATCTGAGTGAAATACCTCGCATTCCTATAAATAAATTGTAATTACAAACACTCGAATCTTTGCTGATTTATTCAGCATCAACCCTGATTGATCTGTCTAGAAAACTTAGATCCTTCTCTGGTACAAGTTAAATGACTAGATGTGCTTTCTAGATCAAGAAAACTCAGATATAATTAATGTAGAATAGTAGAGGCGTATATTGCAGCTATTTACATAGATCTGAGTTTTCTAGATCGAGAATACGAAGTTCCTCTCTCTCGGAATAAATTATTATAATAGAATAATACACCACAATAGAAATATTGCCTGATTGTTTCCAGATCTAGAAATCTCCGATTTAAGTAAAATATATTGATCAGATCTCAGTTTTTCAAATCTAGAAAATTAAATTCCAGATAATAAAGTTGATCTTTGTTAATTACATACATAATATGACGTTTCTAGATCTATATAAAAAAAAATTTAATTTTTAATTGAATTGTACAGATCTTAGTTAACCTATGTTAGTTACATACATAAAAGATTTATAGATCTAGAAAACTCAGATATATGAGATCTGAGTTTTCTAGACGATTATGAGATCAGAGTTTTCTAAGTCACTCTATTCTAGGACCCTTTCGATACATATTTTTACCGACAGAGTATTAATGGACCAACCCCTACAAACTCGCCTAAGAATTGATCCATGAAGCTGTGACTTTGGCCTAAGATTCCTATTCAATTCTAGTACATGATGTAAGGAAGTTATATAATAAAACGGCTCTCTTTACAAAACAGGCGTAATTCTATTTTAGTTTCTTTTGTATTTCGATGTTTTTACAAACATAACATCTGCAGTGCAATCAATAATATAGTTATCAATTCTCGTCATCCAAATAATCTTACTTTCATTCATCCATTTGCCCGCACCGTTGCACTTAAACATTCATCTATTCATTCATTTCCTGTGTATTGGTCATCCCTTCCAAACCGAATTAAAGACGATGCTGTAAATTGTAACCTAAAAGTTTTTTTAAAGAGGTTCAAATCGTATCTTTTTAGTATTCAGATGTAGATATAATTTTTATATTTTTTTGTTACTTTTTACAAATTTTAACTTAATATATTGTAAATATTTTTGATGTTTTTGGTGTTTTGCTGGGACTTCTGACTCATTGAGTCACAGAGGCTATTGCTTCTTTAGAAGTCCCAGGACCTTTGTGTCTAATAAATAAATGAAAATGAAATGAAATGAAAACTTTACTCTCAAAAAACATTGTAAAACCTAAATATGCTTGATAATAGAGTAGAGAGTCCCAAATAAGACATATTTGAAGAACTGTTTGAGCACGGTCAAAACATTATTAATATTCAAAATTTTAACATGCTAACATTGTATATCAGTAAGTTTTAGTTAGAACGAGAACATTTGTTTAGATTTAATTTCGAGCAATGTAAAAATAAAGTTTTTTTTTTAATTCTAAGTAAAAATGAAATTCAACATTTTATTTTCTTCTTTGTATATTTAAGTACTTTTAAAGATCGATTTAAAGTAAGCACGAGAAAATGTGTTCATCAACAGATACAAAATTAAGAAAAGTGAGATGAACTTTTATTGTTTGAAGGTTTTTGTCTACAATCAATGATACATTTTTGCGCTTTGTCACACGTAGATGTGGTTCTGTCGTTTTTGTTGAGTGTCTAGACGCTTCGATTGATTTGCTTCAATCGTCATCAGGAGAAATATCTGCTTTAATATTTACTTTATTGTCTTTGTCATACTGCAAACACGTGAAATATGAAATTTCATTGAAGGTCCTAATAACCATAAGGATAACCAAAACTGAAAACAACTGTCGTTTTTGTTGAGATTGTCTAGACGTTTCGACTGATTTGCTTCAATCGTCATCAGGAGAAATATCTGGTTTAATATTTATTTTATTGTCTTTGTCATACTGCAAACACGTGAAATATGAAATTTCATTGAAGGTCCTAATAACCATAAGGATAACCAAAACTGAAAACAACTGTCGTTTTTGTTGAGATTGTCTAGACGTTTCGACTGATTTGCTTCAATCGTCATCAGGAGAAATATCTGGTTTAATATTTATTTTATTGTCTTTGTCATACTGCAAACACGTGAAATATGAAATTTCATTGAAGGTCCTATAATCATCAAAGAAAGGTAAATAAAGTATTAGAATAAAGGACATAATATATATAATATATATATAGGCCTATATATATTTGTTTATATTTATATATCAAGAAAGTTAAGGTATGTAAATATAATATGATTATACTACGGTCTAATTATACTAAAGCAATCAAGAAATCAAAACTTCAACAAGTGGGTCAAACTAAATTATGATAGATTAAATGTGCTGATTCTAAGCTAAAATAAAATAGACTTAGATAATTAAAAATTCTATTATTCAATATTTTTGGTTGCTAACCTTATAATTTGATTCACGTTTTTTAGATAGGGCCTATATAGCACATAATATATATGTTATATATTGCATGAATATGTTTGATTGTTTTTAAATGGTTAAGGAATAGGCTATAGGCCTAGTTGTAGGTCCTTAAGTGCCGAACAAAACATGTGATAAAACATTTAAATGTTTTTATTCTTTAATTACAAAAACACAATATAGAATAGTGGTGCAATAAATATATAATAAATACAATACAATCAATATATTATCTTCTTCCACGATGTTTCCTAATTTATTATTTAATATGAAATAATAAACAGCTTTAGTTTCGTTTAGGTCAGGAACGTTCCGGCCGGCAAATCTGAGTCAAATACCTCGCATTCCTATAAATAAATTGTAATTACAAACACTCGAATCTTTGCTGATTTATTCAGCATCAACTCTGATTGATCTGTCTAGAAAACTTAGATACTTCTCAGGTACAAGTTAAATGACTAGATGTGCTTTCTAGATCAAGAAAACTCAGATATAATTATTGTAGAATAGTAGAGGCATATATTGCAGATAATTACATAGATCTGAGTTTTCTAGATGAGAAAACGAAGTTCCTCTCTCTCGGAATAAATTATTATAATAGAATAATACACCACAATAGAAATATTGCCTGATTGTTTCCAGATCTAGAAATCTCCGATTTAAGTAAAATATATTGATCAGATCTCAGTTTTTCAAATCTAGAAAATTAAATTCTAGATAATAAAGTTGATCTTTGTTAATTACATACATAATATGACGTTTCTAGATCTATATAAAAAAACTTATATTTAATTGAATTGTACAGATCTCAGTTAACCTATGTTAGTTACATACATAAATGATTTATAGATCTAGAAAACTCATATATCTGAGATCTGAGTTTTCGATACATATTTTTACCGACAGAGTATTAATGGAACAACCTCTACAAACTCGCCTAAGAAGTGATCCATGATGCTATGACTTTGGCCTAAGATTCCTATTCAATTCTAGTACATGATGTAAGGAAGTTATATAATAAAACGAAAACTTTTCTCTCAAAAAACACTGTAAAACCTAAATATGCTTGATTATAGAGTAGAGTCCCAAATAAAACATACTTGAAGAACTGTTTGAGCACGGTCAAAACATTATTAATATTCAAAATTTTAACATGCTAACATTGTATACCAGTAAGTTTTAGTTAGAACGAGAACATTTGTTTAGATTTAATTTCGAGCAATGTAAAAATAAAGTTTTTTTATTCTAAGTAAAAATGAAATTCATTTTATTTTCTTCTTTGTATATTTAAGTACCTTTAAAGATCGATTTAAAGTAAGCACGAGAAAATGTGTTCATCAACAGATACAAAATAAGAAAAGTGAGATAAACTTTTATTGTTTGAAGGTTTTTGTCTACGCTTTATCACACGTAGATGTGGTTCTGAAAAGAACTGTCGTTTTTGTTGAGAGTGTCTAGACGTTTCGATTGATTTGCTTCAATCGTCATCAGGAGAAATATCTGCTTTAATATTTACTTTATTGTCTTTGTCATACTGCAAACACGTGAAATATGAAATTTCGTTGAAGGTCCTATAGCCATAAGGATAAAATTGTATAGATCTTCGGCGTACGATGATTACTACAAATTTACGTAGGGGAGTTGCAGTGTGTATAGAATTCTTTAAACAAATTCCAGTTTTTCATTTAACGCTGTGCAAGTCACTTGTGGCCTTGGGCAAGGTATTTTTTTGTCTCTCTCTACCAAGGAGTAGGCCTATAAATGGGTACCCGGTGGTTTACTACTGGGGAGGAAAAAAGGCGGTGTGGAAAGGAATGGCCACCCTACCACACAATACCGAGGCTTAGTGCAATGGGCTCACAGTTCATTCTCCTATACATTCAGTACTACCTTTACCTTTAATGAATACAATGGATAGGGAAAATCTTCATTAGTTTGTCTAAACATTTTTGTAGCTTATCATTTATACATATTATCTGGGTTATAAACTTGACTTCCTACAATTTTAGAAGCATTTTATAATATACCAATTTTCAATTCTTTGCATCAGGGCCTTCAGTAATCGAAGTAAAGATGTTCGTGAGAGAAAATGCTAAGCTTAGAAAAACCCTTTCGTTCTATGTATGTCTTTGGAAGCTGACGATTATTTGATTCTTCGGAATTAGCAATTAGTTTGGAATTAGTAAAGATTTTCCTTGTTTTTTTTTGTTCTCAGCGTGGGTGTATATGTCAACGTACAACACTGCAGTGGAATACCGAGATTCGTTATATAATTACTATTTAGCTGTAAACGCAACTAACGGCCATATTTATGGAAGAAGTCAGGTAGGCCTGCATATTATCATTATCTTATCATCATGTATTTTTAAAAAGCTCTACTGCCACATACATCTGATAACATATACTTTGAAAAAGATTATAAATTATATTTGTAATGTTTTAGGTTTCCTGAAAATTAGAACAAGAAATCAAATTTGTTATTCATCATCTTTTCATACCCTAGACTTCGAAATGATGTAGTATGACGTCTCTTAAATACATAAGCATAAATAAAAATGTTTTTCATGTCAAATCTGAACGTCAGCTTATTGGATATTCTGTTATCATAGTTTAAGAAACAGTTTAAGCCAAGTTCTCATATAGGTTATCACAATGCAGTTTGGTTCGTTTAGCTTTATACACTGTCAAATGTTTAGTATTTTTTGAGGGCCAGACTAACGAAATTTAACGAATTAAATCGAATAATATTTTATATATAAAGCATGTTTGTTCTTAAAAACGTACTGCAGTATAAATATAATAAACTTTAACATTTCAGAAAGATAAAACTGAATTGTTAACTTCTTAAGGCATTATTAGCGCATCCAAAATTAGAATGAGAAAAAACCTCTCACAAATAAACGAAAAACATTCATCTTGTCTGAGCAAAATTAAAAAAAATCAAAACATTTTTCTTTATACACATTGGGAAATCCGGTATATAAATAAAAAATTAAAAAACACAATTCAATATATTTCATTGAAATAGAAAGGTAAATTGGATAAAACTGAACAATTTAATTAATAATTAGATTTGCTGATATAATCCAGGTGTTCTCTCTATGGGTAAGCAAAAAATATATTAATTGTTGTAAATAGCAATAGAATGTGGGACAAAATTATTTGTATTGCATTTAGTACGACAAGTTAAAGAACGGATATGGGATGGGAGAAGTGTGTACTCATTGTAGAGTAGATGATTAGTTTGACAAAGTATGCGTATTACCATGGCGATAGTACCTGCACCATACTTAAAATTAAGCTTAGAAACATCTACTCCTATTGCCCAGCCCTTCTTGTGATCTTCGCCAACAATCCCTTAATATTTCTCATATAAGCTAGCCTCCCATATAACCCGACAAAATGAAATCACACTGAGTATCATTGATTGAGAAAACATTAATTTCTAGAATTTTATCAATATTAAATTTCCTATTGTTGCTGTAACATATGAAGTCGTTGCTGCATACAGGTCTTTTCGAACAAATTTTCTTCCGTGTAAATCATTGAAATCTATTTTTGAGTTTGCAATATATTGATAATATGATGTGATTCTTTTACTTTGAGCGGTTCAATATTTCACTTCAAATTTATTTAAATTTCTGAAGTTTTTTTTTTTTGCAATCCTATGTGTACAAGTATACGGTGCAATGAAAAATTGAAACCAAAATTTAATAAACTATAGTTAGTTTAGCTTTAGCCCAGCAAACGGTAATATTTTTTTTAATTTTAAAATTATTTTAATTGTTTAAAATATTGTTATTGTTTAAATATGTTTACCATAGTGATGAAAAACCGAAGCTACGATCAAACCGGCTCTGTCCCCAATTTTGCACCCCAAATAGCAATCCCGGAGACGGTTATGTGATGTAATTTTTCATGAGTACGTCCCTCAATTAGTGATCAGCTTTATAATATCTTAAATGAATTTAAATTTTTTTTCAGGGTACACAGTCGAACACTCTCTGGTCTGAGCGAAGTCAAGGAACTATCTATTCGCCTTATACCACGTACTATCTTAGTATACAGAGAAACGGCGGTGACGTAATCGGTGTCAACTCAACAGAATTAGCGTTAAACCCACGCAATTCCAACTTCATGAAATACCGCCCTAATTGATGACGTACCTAGCGTCACAAGTTGCGCCCAATACGTGATAAATGACATTTGGAATTAGTAGGCCTATACGGTATAGGCCTAACTTTAAACGTAGAGTAGAACTATCGTTATCACAGTTACAATAACTGTAACACACGACAGAAAAAACAAAACAAAGGTATCCAATTAACAGTAAACGAAGATGATACAAGAGATAAATATCATGTTTTATTATTTATTTATTTAAATCATTATCAAGAAACAACTTTTCTTAATGAGACTTAAACATTTGATAATGCTTTGAACAATAAATACAGGTCTCCCTGTAATTAAAGACCCCGTCAATTAAAGACAACCACCAATTAAGGACCATTTTTCTGTGTTCCTAAATTAACAAAAGTATTTTATTATTGGGACCAAAGCTGCTAAAAACCATGGAAACCCGGATACTAAAGTGGCCTTTAATTGGATGGAGACCTGTATATTATGAAAATTGTCTAGGTCTCTACTCATTATATCCGGGCATTAACACGTTGTATTATGATGCAACAATATTTTTGTTGTTTTTAAATGAACATTAATGAAACAAATAATGATTTATGATTATTATAGATAATTTAAATTGATTCGGCAATACAATATATATAGCTTAGAATATTCTACAATTTCTTCCATAACATTTTCTAATTATATTTTATTTAAATTAAGTAAGAGTGTTATATGCGATACTGAAAATAGGTATGATGTGGCTGGTTGTCTTTGTGTAAAGATCTAAAAAAATGGACCATAGAATTCGCCAAAACATATAGGTCTTGTATTTATTATTTTTAGTGACTGACGACTCGATCACGCTCTCTGAAAAAACACAAGAATCAAATTTAGGGCCAACCTATTACATCTAAATGAGTTTGAAAAGCCGTCCAACGGCGAATTAATTTTTATTACGGCAATTCTAACAAGTTGATATGTATTTTCTTTTAATCTTAAGCTTCTATTTTTTGTTTTCTGTTATTTACAATTTGCATTTCGTTCTTTAAATCTTGAGTAATGCCTGAAATAAATCGATAAATGATGAAAAAACACGTAGTTTTATTATTCGTTATTGGTCATAAACGGTTGTGAAACAGAGGTCGATCCAGAAATACTCCATTGGGGAACAAGGTCAAACATTGGTTACTGGAGTCATTCAGTTTCTATTTTTCCATGAAATTATACAGTACTGTCTCTGTTGAGCTAAGAAAGACCCTGAAAACAAATTTAAATTTTTGAATTGCTTAATTTTAAATAATTGAAAGTTTACCTCAGAATCAAATGCGTTTCACAAATTCAATGAGTAATTTTTACAAATTAATGACTTAACTCAGCCTATAATTGAGAAAGCTGAGAGAATGGATCCTTTCAGAAACAAAATCAATTTAATTTTAATTTTAATTTTAGTATTGTAGTATTTATTCAGTATTTGATTGGCAGCTGAATTACATCAGATTACAGTTAAAAATGTTTACACTAAAAGAGACCAAACAATAAAAAGCTATACAATTCAAAACACACAAAATACACTTTGAATAAAAAACTTATCGGGTATTAATGGCCTACGAATGAATAATATTGAAATATAATGAAACGAAGTAACGAAAGAAGACGCTAGTAAAATGATAAACATTAAAATTGGGGGAAATGAATAACAATGTATGAGAGGACACAAAAATGCAACAGAAGACCAATAAATAAATAAATATATAAATAAATAAATAACCCCCCCCCCCCAAAAAAAACACAAAAAAACCCCAAAACACATTAAATTAATAAAATTGCACAACAGACCAGGACAATTTGGGAAAGTTGATTAGTAATATTTTTATACATTGATAATTATAGAACATTAAACACTAGTCGATTTACAAATTGATAATTGTATAACAATAAACATTATTAACAAGTTAAATATAATTAATTTATTGTACGAGAATTAAGAACTAACTGCCTGAACAGATTGCAGTGCCGATATAAAACTGTAACCTTTGTGATAGATTTTTCAAGCGCGTTTGGCACCGCATTTTTCGTTATAAGCCTACTCAAAAATATAAAATGAGGATGAAATGAGAACAGTCAGATTTGATGTAGAATAGACATTTCCGGAGTGTCAATCAAACTTAACAACTGACTAATCTGAACAACGCTAGGAATACGCTCGCGTCTCACAAACACACGTGTTGTCTCACAAACGCACGTGTTTGCGTATGTTTTAACACTTGTGGGAACTTAGCAACAATATACAATGGGCGGGGCTTAGCGGAAAGGTTCATTATTAGGAGTAAAAGAACAAACATCATCACTAGTTTGTACTACACGTTTTCTTTGAGATTTGCTCTCCGTTCGGATGAGTTAAACAAGAGCAACCGCTCACTGGTCCGCGCGTTAAACTGAGGCTACTCTATTCAGAATTTAACGCTTCGTATATATGCACCTTTCAGACGAGGCTTTTATTGACACTATTAAAACATGCTAAATAATAATAATAATAATAATAATAATAATAATAATAATAATAATAATAATAATAATAATAATAATAATAATAATAATGGAAAAATATCCTCCATGCTTAAAAACAGTACACAGTGGTGCAAGTTATTAATGGGTTTTCGGCATGGGTTCGTAATAAAAATAAATTTTAAAAAAATAAATAAAATGTCTTGAAAAAAAAAGAAATAAATAAAAATAAATGAAAAATTGAATACCAACACGCGATTTAAACTCTCAACCTTTGGTTCTTAAGACCACATCGCTAACCGACCGCGCCTAATGCGACGTGTCCTATATTAGTGGTAACGGCAGTAATGTACAGCCCTTGCTGAAACCCTGCACTCCCGTTGAAAACTGGCGACGCCGGACGCTTGTAAAGTTCTGGTAACAAGAAGATGATGATGTTCTGGGGTCCGCCTTGCGCAGACCCATCAAACTGAAACCGGCTGGAACTATTTATCTATTGAATTTATTAGCTTTTAAAGATTAGGACTGAGAAAATATTATTTATATTTTCTTGCCAAACGAACGCAAGAATAAATCGTACATTTTTGCACAGACCCTTCAATTGTTTTTTTTTAAATATTGATTAAAATACTTATTCAGTACTAAAAGGCCTGTACATCAGTAAAATAGGTCTATCATAAATGTCAATCTTTTTCCCTAAAAGTGTTCCAAACTTCATTTGAGGGTTACTAAAGGGCCGGCGTCTTTTCTCGGACAAAATTGAATGAGTTGCTTTCAAGACAGTCATATTTCACTATAGGGCCGGCGTCTTTCCTAGGACAAAACCGAATGGCAGACCCATATATCGTCCTTAAAGTCAGTCTAGCTTCATCCACTGATAATGCGAACGTGGGAACAGGCACAACCGGTGCAATGGGTTTACAATAGTAATGTAATGAAACAGAAAAAAAAAGTCGTGCGTCGAGGCAAAGTCCATAAAACGGCGAACATTTTCGATTAAAATAAATTAAATTTCGAGGTTGAACCTAATGTGTAGTTACGACATGGTACATTTACGATGTCTCTGTCTGGCATGAAACTTATATTATGCCAGTTGTTGTCATTAATGGTTTAGTCTAACAACAGGATATCACAAATGCCGACGTCTTTCCGTTAATTGTTACGGGCATGAAATTCGTTAAATTATGAGCTGTAATTCCAACAGAGGTGTGTTTTTTTTTTTTTTAAATGGCCATTGATGTGCCTATATTATTCTTTGTCGCTGAAAATGCACAAGAAACACATTCAAAAAACGTCACTATGTGTTCATGTCAACAATATATATTTAAAAAATAACAGGCATAACGATTTATGGCGCCACAAAACACGTTAGGCTTTAAAACAAAGCCCTATAGTGTATGATGACCACATTCCTAGACCCTGACAGTCAGACGTGCAAGCATTATTTTTGATGGCAAACAAAGCGTTTTTAATAGTTTGTCTAATAAACTTTTTAATGGACCATGTGGTTGCACAATTTTCGGAACATTTGCGACCATAATGTGATGAAAGAGGGGAGGGGCACTCTGGCTGCCTCCATCGCGGCAGAAGCAGAAAAATTTACAATGCCTAGGAGCATGCACAACACACCCTCCTAAATCCTCATCCTCGGGTACTGTTGTTTCTCGATTGTTACTTTCCGGCCGAATCATCCTAAATCGAGCCCCGGGATAACCTTTGCGTGGGGAGGAGATGGTGCCGATGTGTTTATAGATGACCGACAAGCGAGACACCAATATAATTAATATTAGTTTTAAAAAAAAGTTAGTTTGGAAAAATTCGACTGCAAATTCCATTATTACACACAGAGAGACGAGGTCCAAAGTTAATATCACATAAGAGAGTACAATACATATTACTTCAAGTATTGAATGCACGCCGTCGTCTTGGGATTCAATTCTTCGACATTAATTAATGATGGACCATACTACCAAGAAAAGGTGAACATGGTACCACTTTACACATTTATCAAGTCTTACTCGGGACATATGCGCCGCCATAGGCGTATCAGGAGCAAAAAACCCAGCCTCTGCCTGCTCGGTAACAGTGTTTTGTGTGAAGCTTTCAGGTAGACAGTATAATTAACATCTCGACGAGATTTGATTGACAGATAACCCAACTAATCAGCGAGCGTCATTTCGTTTTTAACTGCAAAAAAATATGGTAAAACGGTGTCAATGGAGACTGCAATTCAGACGATCGTTATCCAGAACGATTAAAAGGAGGAATTAAGTTTATCCCATTCCCGAAACGCAACATTGATAAGTGCAAACGATGGATTAAAGCGTGTAATCGCGTACATCACCAGTGCGCATCAGTGACTTGGCCTTTGCCGACGAGGTTGACTGAATGCGGCTTTTCGTTCTCCTTTGGGAGCGAAATACAGATGCTTTTACAACAATTTCCCCGTCTGTTCCATGAAACAGATTAACACTATATATGATTCATTTACATACCGCCTACCCTGAATTCTCTTTCTTAAAGAAGGTTGATAGCAAAGAAAATGTTCGCCGAAACCGCTTGGTAGCTCGGTAAGTTTAGCCGCCATATTGTCTAAGGTTTTCGTTACTTTGTGGGCGGGGCTTCGCGTCCTTGTCGACATGTTAATTATACATGACATCACTATACAAGCCACGCCTCCCTCGGCTGAAGTGGTTGTATTTAGCAACTTCCCATTTCAGTGGAACCCTTGGTTACGTGGATTCCGATTTATGCCTGCATACAGATTTTTGAAAAAAGTATAAACTAAACTCGCATAAGCTGATATTTGTTGTAAGAGGTTGTTTGCATTTTGATTTCTGTGTTGATGCAACATTAATATATACCATCTGTCAAAAATTAAATACAGCTCTATAAAGCAGGAGAATTGTTTTCCCCTCGCACCTTAAAACGTAAACGAAATAAATATACTTAAGTTATATCAAGAAAAAGCAATAATTGCCAAATAACACTCATAAAAATAAATCGTGTTTATAACTAGTACCTATTTATTCATGCTATTTTAACATTTTACATACATATGATTTACTTCTACTGGTTTCCTTTTAACATATACATAATCTGATGAAAGATATAAATTTAAAATTGAATGAATTAGGAGTTCTATTTGTAAGTACAGTTTTACCAGCCATGCCTATGGTTCATGGCAAACAACTCAATAACAATATTTTCGAAACTATGTGATTTGGTCCATTACATTTTGTTTTCTTGACAATTAAAATGTCACTTTCTCATTAGGACTAAAATAAAACATGGCCCAGGCCTCACCTAAATGTTATAAAATTATATAAAAAATGGAGAAAAGAGAAAAATGTTAATTCGATTTAGGTCTGAGAGTGCCATTTTTGGCCATCTAGAGGTGTCATGATCATAATTTTTCTTACCTCAGCCCCAACCATGAGGGGGTTGAGGTGGTATAGACTTTACATCTGAAAAAGTCTGTACCTGGCCCCCCCTCTATTTCAAATTCCTAGATCTACCAACAATCTGCTTCACAATGTCTATTGATTTCCATTAATTTAAGTAAATTAAAGTTTATATTACGTCTCAATAATATTGGCTCCAGATTTTTCAACAAAAAAATCTCCAATATATCTTTGTTCTATCTGCATGCAGTAGTGGCCAGGGTCAGGTGGGAGATTTTCCCCCCACCCTTCAGACAAGCATCTGTCTCTTATACACATCTAGATGTGTATATCACAACACAAACATTTTAATTTGTTGGTCAAACCAAAAGTTGTATTGCAGTTCTCTTAAATTTGCAATTTAGACCACAACTTCAAAAATCATAAAATCTTTCCCCCACAACCTCCCCCTCCCAACAAAAAAGGGCTTCACTTCAGGGCTGTGACCAAGGGGTCATAAAGGACCCCCTGGATTGGACCTCCATCACATTTTTGGCCCCTCCACCTTCCTCCAAATTTTAGGAGCTACCACAGTGTGCATGAATGGTCATATGAGCCTCCTGCCATTATGTCCCTGACTGGCAATTCCTCTTTGGTCACTGCTTGATTATTGAATACAATATAAGCTGGATATTCAAGTAGCGGATCAAAGGGTGCACCCCACCCACTCTCAATCCCCAGCAGTAGCCAAACGATCACTAACCAATTAATATGAAATCATTTAGGTAAGAGATTAAAATGGCTAAAACTCCAAAGCTTCCCTGAACCCTCACAAAATGTAAGGGACACCCCAAAACATTCTCTCTCAATAGGTTCCACCCCTTCACCCCTCAATTGCCACTTGCACCATAAATGTTGTGGATCTGCCACTAATATCTTATGCCATCTACAGAAAATCTGGAAAGTCAGCCTTAAGTCTGCATTTGTAATACAACCTACAATATAAAAATGAAAAAAAAAATCAATATTTCTACAGTATACTGGTACTCATAAATAAAATTATAAAAATATTAATAATATGTAGAATTATATAGCAAAAATACCAATAACTTCATACTGTATTAACTAAGGCAATATTATTATCAGTGGAGTTGATGATCATATTTGTTATATATTGTATTGAAATCATTGAATCTAATTCAATGCATGTTTTGAAGCTCAAGAAAAGAAATAAGACAAAATAAACAGTTATTAACAGGGTGATATTAATGTAGCATAATTCTATTGTATTTAATGTATTGTATTCAAATCAGGGTTAGAAGTTGTGGGTTATATATATACTGTGCAAACATGCTGGGTCTCTACTTACGCTTAAAACAAGTGAAAAGATGATTGAATATAATGCAGCGCAAGTATTGTAGAAAGGAAATATTAAAACAAATGAAAGTTATTAATGTGGAGAGACAGGCGCCAGTCATTCTTTATTGTAATATTATTTTCATTTTAGTAGATGTATTGTATTTTGGAGTCCATTCTCTCCAAAATACTTTCACTTCAGTTGACAGTGTACATAACTATTCTACCAGATCCAGTTTTTTTTTTTTCGTCATTCTTTTATTTTACTGTCTTTTTGATATTTTTGTGGTTTTTTTTCATGTGATTTTATGTTTTATGCATACTGAGCCCTCTCTGAGAGAACAGTAACATTCTATTGAAGGGGAAAACAAGTACAAAAGAACAAATAAGTAAATAATTATACAAATTATGGGATGTAATTCAAGGCCATTTTCTTAGATCTTAAACTAATTCAACATTGTTTCAAATTCGTAGTAAGGCTACACTGAAGACAACTTATGCTTGTACATATTATTATGTAATGGATGATTATAAAGCTGATTTAGAAGTTATTAATTTAATTTAATTATATAAAAATATCAGTATAATAATAGAAAATACATTAGTAATTCTTGTAGACATATGTTAATAACATAAATTTATTTATTTCCTTTACATCCAACCATAAGTACACTCGCCACTAACAGGATGGAATAATGCTTTATAAACTACACCTCTTTTATGAGGCTTAGGGGAGTGGAGTTGATTTTTATTCCTCGTGAGAAATAGTCCTTCCGTGAAAAGAATTGAACCCAGGACACTGGGATTAGAAGGCAAGCACCTTAATCAATAAGTTATACTAATCCACAAATTTTAAAATAACTAGCCCAGCTGTCAAGGTGTAAAGGTAAAATCTGTCAGGGAAAACAGAGCCAACTGGCATAAGAACATTTACATGGAACATAACCTAATTTTTGTTTGCCTTAACCTGGACCAAGGTGGGCCCATTTGATGTAACAACTCTCGGGAAAATGCCAACATGTCTACTGCCCCCTTTAAGGAATTCTGGTTAGATATGTGTAGTACCAAATGTTTGTACAAATACCGACCTTGCTTGCAGCTTCCAGTGAATTGACAAACTTCTTGAATTCGTCTTGGTTCATTTCTAACGACACGGTTTCCGTTTCATCGCCGGAACTAATGTCAAAGTCTACGGATACTAACGGCTCTTGAACCGATGAAATCTTGTCACTAGATAAAGCCAACTGTACATCAATACTGATTTAGTTATGGTTAACACATTAATGCAACCTGTATTAATATGGGTATATCAGTGGTGTATCTAGCAGTCTTGAAATTGGGGGGGGGGGTGTACCTGATGGGGTGCGAAGGTGGAGTTGGGGCTCACTGATTAAGTGAGGCGGTACTAGGTCGCAAAATAAGTTGACATAGGGTTTCAATGGAAGGGGGAGGGGGACGTTTTTTTGGGAGGTGTGCGGGGGTGCAGCCCCTAGATATGACACTGTTTCTATTATATTGGTATCTAACCTTTAATTTCCAATCAAAATTTTGGAGATGTGAATGAGATATTGCTGTTACTTCTTCAAGTAGGTGTTGCCGCAATTCTACTGCTCGTATGTTTACACAACCTACAAAGCCTTGGACGTGGTCAGCGGGAACGCCATCAAAAAGCTGAGACACCTAGAAGAAAATATGAGACTCAAATAAACTGGATTTCTGACCATCTAGTGGTGCCTCAGCCCCACCACCTGAAAATGGTGGGGCTGAGGTAGTCCAGATCCTCCATCTGTAAAAGTCCTGTTTTGTGCCTCCTCTATTTCTATTTCCTGGATCCACCACGGAATCTGGTGCACAAGGCATTGGCAAATGATGCAATACAAGACCCTCGATGATCCATAGCACGATAGAATGTTTTTAACAATCAGTCAGAGGACTGGTGTAGGTTAATTCATCAGCTGACGGAGATGTACACTGCATCAGAACTTAGTGTAATTGTATATATAAATATTTATAGAGGAATGATAAATTGAAATGAGTTCTAAAATCTGATGTGTGAACGTTTTTGTTTATGCCATAATAAAAAAAAAAATGCTGTTCTCATTCACATGAGGGTTTTTCAAAGTTGAAAAATATCAGCATAGCATCAATGCAGTCTTTCAAGGTTCTCGATATATTTACCTGTTCTTTAGTTAATTCTTTTTGAGACATCTTTTTGACACATCGTTGGCAAGCATCAAGCACATCGAACCACTCTTCAATATCCCATATTTTACCATAGTCTTTGTACCTTAACCTGGCCCTACCCAGAATTCCATCAATCAGTCCATGACCAAACTGTAGAGAAACACTGACCGACGTTAGGCTGACATTAAAGACATAATTTTGGTCATAAAATATGGTAATATTCAGTGGTGGTGCCAGACTTTGCGGGAGGGGGAGGGGTTTGTCACTGATGAGAAGGCCGACTTCCAGAAAATTAAACAATCGCATCGAGATATTTAAAAAAACTATATTTATGTGCTATACAAGAACAGCATTATTATTAATTTATGGTGCTGAAATGCATATTTAATCAACTCAGAATAGCTTGATAAAGCTATCAGGAGCGGTTTAAGCATGGGTTCACATCTTGGTTCACAAAAATTTAATTAATTTTTCCACACCAATAAATCTAAAATTTCCACACTGAAAATAAATTGCACAAAATACTTTTCTGAGCATGCGGCAGTGACCCTGATGCGAAGTAAAACTAGGCCTAAAAGCAATTTATAATTATTCTACTTCCACATTGTCAAATATTTCCTTTACTTTTCCATAAGCAATTTAATTTCTTCATGACTTCCAAGATCATGGAAAAGTATGAACCCTGGTTGGCTATCAGGCACTGCACTGCAGAACATGTAGACCTGTAGAGCGACACGCCGACAGGGGCTGACACTCAGTGAGTCGCTGCCAGTCCCAGCGAAGAAGCTGGACGGCCAAGCCAGGATAGATAGGGCCTGCGTTTCCGTGGGTAAGCCTAGCTAATGATTTCCATAATTTGCATGTAAAAACAATATTTATTTGCCAGATGTACATGCCATATATTATTTGAAAACATAACGTACCTCCTCAATTCTATCTACTGGGCATTTTGAAAGAAGACAGGTATTTTTCGTAACTTCCATTGTATTTTCACGGTCACATGACAAATCACAACAACGCCTACAGACACGACGGACCTACTACTAGTACGGACGTATAGATAGACGAGACACGAAAATTAGCGCCCTCTATCATTTCTAACTTTTCTTTGCTGTCGTATCGGCCAAGAGGAAAGGATAATAATATGCGACCGGCGGGTTACGTCAAGTCTCGTTCTATTTATCAACCAATCAATCTTTCAATAATCTTTTATTTTGGAAATTCAAATCCAAAATATAAACTAAAAAGGAGCTTTGAAAACAACAAATAAAAAATTGAAATTGTTAAAAAAATGACGTAGCCAATTGTTAATACATGAACAGCGGTAAATAGAAAAACCCTCTTTTCTTTGTTTCGTAATTTATTATAAACAAGGTTTGATGTTGCCGACGGAGGGGAACCGATGACTCCTACCGGAAATTTGAAAGGCTTATTATAATGGATTTAAGTCTCTTGCATGGTAAAATTACATAGAACTTTTTTCACTCACTGATGAAATGTTTTCCTCGAAAACAAAGGGGAGCTCTACCCGAGGTGTCAAGGTATATAGTGGTGTATCCAGAATATATCCGCTGAACAAAAGGTGCAAAAATAATAACTTTTTACAGGAGTTCCACCTGCAGCCATTGGTACTGTAGTGCATATTAAAAATGCCGCCATTCTTGTACTGATGCCATAATTATTGTTGAAATATTGAATCCCGACACGATGGCGTGCACATCGACACTTGTATTTATCAGTGGACCTTTCGATTTCTTGTACAGTATTTGCAATATTTCAACCTGACCACACACACCCATCAAGCTTTTTCACCCCCAATTTCTTGTTGCATTTTAGATTTAATACAGTATTTGTATCCACAAAATGCAACTACTGTATTGTAAACAAGTACAACAAAACAAACAAAGGCAATTCAATTAATTATGCACTGCATAGCATGCATATAGTTTTATTAATACTCCTGTAAGGTTATCAAAAGTATTTACAATCAATGTTGGGAATGCATATCTTCTTAATAGGACCCTCAGTCTCAACAATTCAAGCTGTTTTCATTGATGTGCTACATTTACACTAGACACTATAACACGATCAAAAATGTGCTCAGTGTTGAAGAATATAAACAACGCAATATATAATAGTCATGTCATTATCGTGTCTAGTGTAAATGTGGCTTAAGATCACAGAAACTCTTACTGTTTTTTTTAATTATTATTCTAAATATATTATTCCATAGATTTCCATCTACTTTCTCAACTCATTTCAATTTACTTATTTCTTTGGTTTCCTTCCTTTAAACTATCTACCTGTTTTTTACAAATGCAAAATCATACTTTTGTTTTCTTGGATTTTCAGTCCCTCCAAGCATATACAGAAGCATTATAATAATAAACACCTGTACAAATCATAGAACCTCTATTGTAAAACTACCGGATTGTAGTGCTGTACAGTAAAACATGGACAGAATGCTGCATAACACAATGGAACGTTCCGCTAAGCCCCACCCCTTTTGTACTTGTTGCTAAGGCCCATGCAAGAAGGTAGCGCAAAAATATGTGGGATACACATTCATAGTGCTTTCTGATTGGTCAGTTAAGTTTGATTGACACTCCGGAAAGGCCCACACATTCATAGCCCTTTTTGATTAGTCATTTTTTAAGGGGGAGAAAAATAAAACTAATGTCCATAAACTTTGATAAAAGCCAGTGTCCTTTACTGTCTATGCGACATTTATAATACTGTAAAGCAAAAAATGAATAAAATTACTGCACTGTACTCCTGTACCGATTCGAAGGCATCATCCCCTACCCTGGACTTAAATCAAGGTGACACCCAACCCGCCTCCATCCCTGGGATGGTGAGGACACCCTCCCAACATCCTTCCCAGGGATGGCAGTGACGTAATCCACGTCTGCTCCCCACGCTTCATCTCCGGCATCACTGCCGTAACCATAGTCGCCCTCGATTATTGTGGTAAAATAATTTCCGCCTCTTTATTCCAAACTAGTAACTTTCCTAAGTACTGCAATTCAAGTATTCAATTTTTTTTTTCTTTGTCGAGTTTATCATATCATCTGATAGTCTTCAAGTTTGTTTTTTTTTTAAGTTGATGTTGCTGAACTAACATTGTGAAAAACTACTGTTCAAATCTTAGCAACAAGGAATAGGTGCTGATTGGCAAGAAGTTACTGTTTTTGTTCTTTCTAAGGAAATCAACATTTGCTGGCAATCCTGTAAACTTCTACGATCACCGACACGTTCGAATGACTGTACAGCCTCCGTCAACATTCTTTCCCTTTGACCCGGTGAAGACAGTAGCTGTGTTGGAAGGTGTTTGCAAGCCATCATTAGTGCCGAACCATGATCACGATCACTGACTTTTAAATTATCATCATTATCTGAAAGGAAAAAGACATCAAAGAATTAGTGCAACATTCTTTGTTTTGAAACATAAGACACAAGATTTCTGTTGAGGCAGGACTTTTTTACACCTTTTATAGCACATCTTATTTTTGAAAGATTATCGGAGGGCAGGAGAAAAAAACCCAAAAATGTTTAGCAAACAACCACTACACAAACAGGTCACCACTAGGCACTTAGCCCTTAATCACTTTTTTCTGTATGATCATAAAGATTGTGATGTTGGGATGCAAAACAGTTTCATAATGCAGGAATTGAAAAAATGCTTTTTATGTATTTAGGTATTCATTATTGCATCAAAATCGCAGTTAAAACTGAATTACATTGATGTTTATCGATATCCAATTTACAATGACAATAATTTAGGTAAGTTAGGAAAAAATAGATACCGCATTATGAAAGATCATGGTGTTTTTTTAAATATTTGAAATTAAAATTTGGGATCTAAATAAGTTTTCTTTGAATGGATGCCTGAAACAAGCAAAACACTCAGATATCAAATGAGTGATGTGCAAAATGAAGTTATGTTTATCTTTAAAATCAAACCTCCATATTAGATGTTTGAAAATTTAAAAAAAAATGCACAGAATAATGGAGACGCCACATTAAAATAGCACTCGTTTTAATTTACCTTTAATGGCAGAATTGGTGCTGCTGACGACTCTGCGTCTTAAGCTCCTATCTAATAACTGCTGCGTGCGTTTAGGATTAGCACCAGCCATCAGCCGAGCTGTTGCTTCGTGTCTCGAAACGCTCGACATAGCTGCTTTGAAAATATTTGCAAGTTTTCGGAGACTGGCTAAATCTTGCTGGAATGCAGAGAGTTCGATGGTGGAGCTGATAGTTCCCCGGTTACCCGTCTGCTTCTGCCACACTGCAGTTCTTGTTGAAAGTAACCAATCACAGACTAACAACTGTATTGCCTAAAAAGATATATTTTACTATTTTTAATTATTTACAAATGAAAGATGTAGTTGCATTAGAACAATTAACTTTTAGAAATAACACAACAGCTTTTATACTCATCATGGGCAAAGTCAATGTTGAACACTACAGCAGTTAAGGGACATGTTAGCTGCCATTATCTACAGTATACAAAGATTGCAAGTCTCCAAATATGCGAACAAAATATCAGAATGTTAAATTATAAAAAAAAAAAGTGGGTGGGGTTTGCATACAATATTAAAGAGTTATGTTTTACGGTGGTGCTGCAAATGCACAAGGCAAGAATATTTTTATTCTTTGTTTCGTGAAACAGTGTAGTATTGGGATGGATAAATGGGAAGAAATATACATGTCTTATCTTTGTATATTTCAAGGCAGAGGAAGGTGTAATAAAAAAAAAGCAATCCTTTTATGAAATTTCCAGTTTTTCGTGGTGGCGGGCAATCATTATTTGTGAGTGGTGGATTTGCAAAGCAAGGCATAAAAAAAGTCTTGCCTAATTATTAAAACATTTGAAAGTTTAGATTTTAACATTTTGCTTTAACCTAATAAAAAACCAGAGATTTTTCTTGTGTGTGGTATTTCGCTGAAACATTAGCCAGGTATCTTAAGAGTAAATCTTAATTGTAACCTGATTAGCTGCTAAGGGTTGTACCATTTCTTGACTGACAATTGTTGCATTGTCAGACTCCATGTTGCACTGTTGGAGCACTGCATTGTAGTGATAACATGCAATGCAACTACAATGCACCACAGAGACCGACACCATTGTTTGTTGAAGAACACAGACTACCTGCAAACTCCCAACACAAGAGGGCGACATACAAGTTACAAAATAAATCAGATAGTCTGCAGATACCTTCTCTGCATATAAATCCAAACCACAAAGGGGCTAGAGACCATATACAGAAGAATGCAAATTATTTACTGCATTCAGACTCATCTCCTTGCAGAAAACTAAAGCAGCAGAACATAAGTATTGCATACTTGACATTTTCTTTCTTAATGGAACAAATACAAAATGAATGTATGGTGTTTACCTGTGTTATGTTCTGATTAGGTGACTCTGCTAAGCTGAGGCTTTTCTGGAGATATTTACTTGACTTGTTGCATAGTCTAACACACTCTTCATTGAACTGGTCTCTCTTAGTTTCCGACAGGAAATTCCGCCTTGCTTTGAATGCCATCTGGACAGCTACAGGTAATGGGTCCCTGAAAAAAAGGATAATGTTATAAATGTTGACCAGATTACAAAATTTTAATTTTTATCAAAGAGTTTTATGTAAACAATGTCTTGGTATGTAGGAGAATAGGAAACAAATAAATTCTGATGATAGGAATTGTGAAAACCAGATAGTTTTTAAGCTGTACATGATTAAAATAAGTTAATAAATGTAGCAAAGGTGTTCATAAGACCAGTAGTGTAAATGAAGTGAACTTAATGGTTACTGAGAGTTAACATACTCTGTATTTTGTAACAGCGTAGGCAGCGTCTCCACACTAGAGTATAGTCTCTCTGCAGCTGTGTCATCACCTTGGAGCCAATGTGTTGCTACCAGAATTATGTTGCACCACCACTTAGAGACTGCATCAGAACCTACCAGAGATGAAAAAATAAAGAATGCACTTGAGTTTCTTGTGAATCGGTTTCTTTAAAATAAGTAACCCCTTACCGTGAGTGGCTTTATTAGCCTTGCTTGGGGTGATTGTCAATAAAAATAATAATAATTAAAAAAGAAAACCTTGATGAAAAATTGGGATTTTTAAAACACGGGTATGTGTCTAGAGTTGAACTTGACAAGTCTAATCCAAAATGCCATTGAAATACTGTTGAAATTTGACTTGCATATTGTTAATTAATGGAAAAAACAACAATCTAGCATGTAAAATAAGATTGACTTAGAAATTATTCGACTTGGGCAAGTTCAACTGTACTCATCTAGCAGTGTTGATGAGGACAGTATAAATTCTCTAGCATTTCTGACAAAATCAAAAAGTTTGGGCAATTATCTTACTTGTGGCTGCTGACATATTGGAGCCAATGGCAAAGGATGATTGGTGTGGTGGCCCTGCTGTCTCCGAGCACTCACTCAAAAGCTGTAGGTATTGGCAGATATCAGAACACTGGTTTTGGGCCACACTATTATATATAAAAAAAATTATATTAATATATATATAGCATATTACACATGGAAACCACAGGCATATCTTGGTGCACGCACCCACAAAAGCTCGCACCCCTATTGAAAATGTCAAAATCACCTCATATCACCTTATTTTGCAATTTAGCGCCCCTCACATATTATCAAGCCTCCACTCAAATTTCAAGCCCCCCTCCCACATTTCTAGACTCTTAGATATGTCACTGATGATAATTATCCCAAAAAACACTGAAAAATTAGTTATTTCATAATAATTAAAAAAAAAAAATTAAAATAAAAGAAAACCAAATAATTTTGAAATTTTCTCTTTTAATTAGTTGGTTTAAACACCACTTACCCATCAGTATTACTAGCCAATGCAGCATTTCTATTGGCCTGTTTTTGTGTTGGTGCTACCAATGAGTACAAAGCTTTGTCTAGAAGGTATTCTCGAAATGCTCTACTGACATGTGACAGGGGATCAGCTGTGGTTTGGAAAAAATAAAAAATAAAAATACCATCAAATGCAATATTAGCAAAGCGACAATATTTTAATTAAAATCTATCAAATTCTTATATTCCTAAGGAAGAATGTGGAAAATCATTACATTTTTCTGGTTGCAAACTTTGGTTTCTTGCATCTTCAGTATTTTTGCGATGAATTTTAAAAACTTAAGCTATGGTTTGCCTCTGCTCTTCTACCAAAATAATGATATAATGAAATATATCGATTAGGATTTATGAACATACCACAATTTCCTGTAGTTGTGAACATGTTATCTGCAATGGTATCACAATTCCAGTCACCACTGACAAAGAACCGATGTCCAGCTGGATGAAACAGCCACTGAAGGGATGGAGGAATGGCGCCTTCTTGACCAGCACATGCATGTCTTGCTCGGCTCAGAAAATAGCGCTGTAGGGGGAAGAAAGTATTTATTGACCTAAGGTTGTGTATTCCCAGTGATGCTGTAACTTACAATATACTAATACTAATTAATAATTTCAACACTTATGTTTCGACGGCCTTTTGTCTATAGTAAAGTTACGACAAATTTAATATTTTACGCACATGTTACTTCCGACAAGTGTCTACACAATGCTTACTCAGCGCATAAGTTTTTTTTTTTTTAATTTAAGGCTAGTTCAACTTCATTTGTCTCTCAAGTTAGTTTGCACAAAAATTCTTGAAATTATGAACAATTATGAAAACATCAAGTCTACAAAGGCTTCCCCATCACAGGAAGTCTACAAAGGCTTCCACATCACAGGAAATGTTATTTTGGCACTCATTTGTAGGTATTTATCTTTTGAAAAAATCGAAGTCAAAATAAGGGTCGCATTTACTTGCAAGCTCTGAAGAAACTACTCTGAGTGCGTATCCCTTATCTTTCTTATGTACGCGGAAGTAGCACACTTACTCCTGAGCCTGCTCAGGAGTAAATCACCTGTATTAACGTTGTAGTAACTTAATACTAAGAGCTTTTCCACGGGCACTACCCAGGGCTTACGACAAATAAACTGCTACTTCAAGCTTACTTCCGACTTGTCTGAACGTGCCTAATGAGACAACAGTCAGGAAGTGTTGTTAAGAAATATGGCAATTTTATTAAAATCACGAGATGGGTTTACTTACTGAAATAATATGAAGTCTTCTATGGACATCTGTTTTGATGTGTAGAGCAGTTGTGACATAAATCTCAGCTAGGGTGTCCTTACTAATTGCATTACCAGCCACCTCAGCTAAATTCATAGCACTCAATGCCATGTTCACAGCATATACAAGTCCATCAGATGAATTACCTAAAAAGAAATATATATCCAATTTAGAAATACTGAATTTTTAATAGCCTATCATGGCTCATGTAAAATGTTTAATGTGTATTTTAGTATAAAAAATAATTTAAAAAATCTTGTGGCTTTGTCTTTGAAATACCAAAGTATAATGACTAACACAGTATTGCGTTACAGCAGAAAAGTGTACCACAAAACGTGTTTGCTGAACGCTAACCAAATAATAAATGAGTGTTAAAAACACATTTTTAGAATGCATTCCTAACCGTGTTTTGTCCCGTTTCTGCTTGGAAAAACACGTTTTTTTAATAACCATTTAAAAACGCATGTTGTTTTGGTCAGCAGAAACGGATCTAGTCATCAAATTGTCTTACCAGTCATGTGTAGCTGATGCAGTTTATGGTAAATCAACGCTGCATACTTGGCAGACACTTGCACATCAGAGGGTTTCTTACTGCCAGAACTAATCCGCCCACGAACCAGCAAACGACCAATCCAAAGTCGGTTCAGCACATGCCTAAGGCAATTCCACGCAAGACACGAAGCTAAATCAACCTTTGATGTTGGTAGAGGTCTCCCAAGAGCGACTAAACAGAGACGAAGCTGACTAGTGGCCGATGCATAATCACCCTGCAAATAAACAAAATCATTAAATAGTATTGACAAAATAGACATATCCTCAAAAAAAAAAAAAAGTTTTAAATATAATTAATAATTCTATGCACACTAATACAAATATATGCATTCATCAATAGTAAAACAAAAAATTGTTGAGCATATAAAATTCACTATTTACTGTAGTTCTCAGGTAAGCCCACCGTCTACTTTATGCTCAATTTTATGTACTAGGATGGGCTTACACAAGGGAAAATATGGCATACATTACCCATTATGTAAACAGTTACTAACCCTAGCCAGGTCAAGATCAGCCTGCTTCTTGTGCCTCCAGAAACTAACAGCTTCCTTGGAGTGAGTGCGAGTGACAGGTTCTCCATAAATCAGAATCCTGGCCAGAACAAACAACGCCACAATGCTGTTTATGCCCCAGATGACCATAGTGGGGAACATCCAATCATACCAGGACTGCTCAGCTATAAAACAATGATGAAAATACATTAGAAAATATCCTGTTACATATTTATTCTTCTTCCAATAAAATGTAAGCACACCAAGGTTACAAACGTATTAACACCAAGACCTTCCCATAGGTGGTTTGAATGTAGAGACTTGTGTTAATTTAACATTTAGCTAGCAACTGCCATGAAATCTCCAAAAATAAGATATATATGTGTATATTTCTTCCTAAATTTATAAATTTAAAGCATTTAATCACCCCATTACTACAGTTTACATTCACCAACAAAATTTTATTTTTATTTTCTCTTCTGTCAGAATGTTTTTGGCAAAACTATTTGCTAAATAAGAAAACTAAATTTCATTTAAATTTTTTCCCACCCTCATCTGACGATCTTTAAAAAATAAGTTTGTGAAAGTATTAAAAAAAAAAAAAATTATTTTTTAATTGTCTTGCACAAGATTTTTGTTGCATTTCAAATATCTTTTTTCTGATTGTGTTAAAAGTAAATTACAAATGCATTATGTGAATCCTGAGGTAAAATAGATACCTTGAATGTCAGTTGCCAAGAGAGTTCGTCCACCTCCATATTCACCACTCGGAGCATCTTGATTGGTAATAAGTGATCCAAATGGATTGAAAGCCAAAACAGCAAACAGGAAGATGCACAGCCCCATTCTAGTCCGGTCCAACATCCCCCCAGGACTCGGGATTGCATCTGACATGTTGTCTTCTTCCTCCTCCTCCATTGGATATGGTCCTGGACTACCAACACCGCTGCTGCTGCTACTGGGGCTCCTTGATGGTGAACTGTACTCCGATGGTGGAGGAGTCATAGGTTCCGGCTTGATCTCCATGTCGTCAATTGGCAAGCCTATGTGTTCAAACACATCAGCCATTTAATAATCACAAGTATAACTATGTTGGTTCCATGTGGTATGGCAGTGTAGGCTTCCGTTCAGGTTGTTGCAAATAATAGTAACAATAACCACAGATGTAGTGCCAGTCTAAAGCATATTTCATGGCCCTCCAGCCACCCTTATTAACCCACTTTTCCATCCTTAAAATTCACTCGTATTATTTAGAGTTTACCAATGTGATCACCCACCTACCCTTAAGATGTCTATCACTCACCCCTAGTTTTCTACTGCTACAACCCTGAATAACAATAATAATAAAAAAGAAAAGGCTATAACAAACCAACTTTAAATTTAATACCGTTTTTCAGTCTTTCCACTTGACTTCTTAAAACTGTGTTTTCATGTTTCAAGTTTTGGATGGACTTCCTCATGTAACGAATGAGATCAATTGCCTTCTGCAGAATGCCAGACTTCTGAATCTACAAGAAAAAAAATAATCACTTAATTATCTTACATATTAAATTCATTAAATTACTAAATACAATTACAATGCATAAATTAAAAAAAAGATCCAAAAAGCCTTTAAATCAATCAAAAAATTAGTGCATTAACATTCTTAATCACTAGGTAAAAGTTTGCTTTGCAAGTTTTGACATATTTATATTTTATCATTTACAGTAGCTGTAATTTTTTTGTGTAAATATTAAGTCATCACTTTAGAGGGAATTTAAACCAATTCCTGAACAATGAGGGAAAATAATCACAAAGACCAAAAAGCCAGTTAATATGCCCAGTTAATTAATAAATCCAATCAGAATCAAGAAATCAATTAATTTGTTTAACTAAAGCTTTAATTAATTCGCTTAATTACATCTATTCTGCTCTGGAAATTCTATCCAGCCATCTGGTATTTGAAATATCTCATTGCTCGACCTACTCAGAATACATAATAAACAAATGAAGCCATGATGAACAGATTGAAAATACTGCTCTGTGATTGGCTAATTGCCAATGGCATGACACATGAGGGCAGTTGAGTTCGTCCACATGATACAAAAGCATTTGAATTGCATCAGAAATACTACAGACTTGCAACTGTTATTAATATTATTATTACATCATTGCTAAAAATAGCATCATAATTACTAATCCATAAACATGCATTATATTAATTAATTTAAAAAAAATTGTACAGCAAATATTATTTTATAAAACTAATTTTGACAATTTAAGCACCACACTATTATTTAGGAAATGATTTCTTATTATTTTAATTTTCTAGTTTATTCTTTTAGACAATCTATTTTTGTGTTTGTTTTTGATCATTTTAGACTATTGATCTTGTACAGGTTTCTTTGATTCATTCAGCATTGAAATAAGGACTAACCTTATAAAAGAAAGTTGAATAAATAAATATAGAATACGATTTTTTACATTTTCTATTACTAAAAGTAAACAACTGTTTTCATTAACAGTTACTCATGCCTATTCCTTCCTTCTGGCAACTTTTTAATTTGCCAATAATTTTTTTTTTATTTACTTCCAATAATGCACAAGAAAAAAAAAACTTTGTTAAAGTTGAATATTCCGCTTTAAGGGCGACTGTAAAGAATATCGGAAAAGTATGTATTATCAATTACTTATTGGTCTGTTAATCGGTGGAAATACAATAAACAATGAAATATTGATTTTTTAAATTTTTCCTTTAGTTCAACACAACAAAACCAACCTTTGCATCTTTTCCAACAACCATCTCCTTCAATTCCAAAATCTTGTTGTTGATGCTAAACCTGTAACGCTTTTCTATTGCGTTATGGTTCGTGCGTTTCTCTCCCTTTGGAAATTGCGGGCTTGGCGTGGCATTTACTCCTTGGATACGAGTAATTCTCATCTTATCCTGCTGTTCCACTACAACCTTAGAAACTGTTGCTGCTGATGTGACAACAACAGGCAGAGTCTGTCCAGACTCTGTCTTGATAATTTGTGGGATTAAAACCTAAAATAAGAAAGGAATTAGTATTGATAAAAAATATGTAAAACTGTACATAAAAATTTTTTCCAAAAACCAAAAAAATTGATGCAAGACCAAAATTATTTTTTAAGAGTTATCGGAAAGTAATCAAAGAGGGGGAAAGGAAATAGTTTTTATGTTACATAACTGTGAAGGCTAGGTGTCTCGGAAATTGCCAGTGGCCCGAACATTCTTTATGAACAACATACAGTAAGTCATATCTAGATGAATTAACTTATTAATTATGAAGATATATGGATTTCTGTTCAGTTTTCTCGGTGTTTAATCACATGAATTGCCAGAGGCTGAGACAGACCAAATTTCTTTAGAAACAACAACAAAAACCCCAAGAACTTATTGACCTGTTGGTATGTCTTGCTGGTGGCTGGTTGGCTTGATGCTGCAGAGGATGCCGCGGTCTTACTAGCTGCAGCTGATACTTGCTGAGCTGCTTGTTGCAGTTGTTGAATTATCTGCTGAATCTGGACCGTTTGTTGTTGCACTGTCACCTCCTGTTTCTGTGTTCCTTGCTGTGGCTTCTGGGAAACAATTTGCTCTTGTTGCTGCTGTTGTTGAGGTTTTAACTGAACTTGCAGAACAGTCTGCTTTTGAGGAAGCATGCCAGTCAACACCTGTGGTGTTTGCGATATGATCTGCTGGGGAGTGGGCGACACAACCCGCTGTGTGGGGGACACTATTTGCACCGAGGGGGAGAGTATTTGAGGAGATGACAGTAGTTGCACTGTTGGCGATACAACTTGTGCTGATGGTGACAGAACTTGCTGGGGTTGAGGAGGTATCTGCGCTGTTGGCAGCAGATCAAAGCTTTCGTCAGTAAGATATGTTTGGGATCCATCTTGCATAGAGTCCCAGGAGCCATCCAGAAGCGAAAAATCTTGCTGGTTTGAAAAACCAGCATTTATCAAATCTGAAAAATAAGAGGCGTAGCTAATTATAGTTTATACACTATATAGGCTATGCAATCAATCAAGCTACAACTTGCAAGGCCACCTCCTAAAATAGTGGCGTGTGTGAATGCTCAGTCAGTGATTAATTTTTAAGCCTACAGTACAGTCACCATCCCCCATAAATAAAAGGGAGGCCCACAACTAATAAAGTACAGCAACAAGTTTATCAAATATATTATTCCTACCCAGCAGGTCCAATCGACCCAAGCAAGAGCAATGAAGGGTTTGTTTTTGTTTACGTTTTGATGATTAATGGAGCTATCCTAGGCCTACTCTCTGAAAACAAAAGCAAGATAAATTAACAAAAACACTGCAATAACAGAAGAAATTAATAAAACAAAACTAGCCTAGGCTAGTCCTAGGATTCGGACAGGAAAAATAATGTAATATAGACCCTGGCCCCTAGACATCCTGCGTCGTAGTAGGGCCTAAAGTTCAATCAACTCAAGTCAAACAACACTTCATCCAACGAACACAAAGCGAGAGAAATGGCCTGCCTACCTAGGCTAGCTAGGGCCCTAGGTAAATCATAGGCTATAAGCCTAAGATTAATGGAGGTATTTAGTAAGAAAAAAACTTACCGTCAATATCATCTAAAAGTAATTCACTTCCACCATTGGTAGCTCCGAAATTCGGGTCCATCGTGGGCAAAGCGCTGTCTTCAAACAGCCACCCTTGCCCGGAGTCGTCCATCTTCAGAGTTTGTCTTTTGAGATGTTTTTCGCGATTATCGTTAATGGTTGTAGCACCACGAGCTGTCGGCCAATCAAACAGCGTTAAAACATCGTACGATTCTGTGGAAGCCGTGTCATTGGGCTTTCCCCTTCTATGTTAATTGTTATATGACCTTTATGACCTTGTTTATTTTCAGCAGCAAGCTCATATAGACGTGGACGTGAGGGCGCTACCAATAAATCAAATCAACAATGCAAAATTTAAATTAAAATCAATGAAATAATATTATTTAAAAAATATATGTAAAACTATGAATTATGTAATAGTTTAATGTCATAAATGATGTACAATATAATGGCGCTCGGGAACGCAGTAGCATTTAATTAATTTTTATTTGAACAAATTTAATAATTAATAACATACATATTTAACATAAAATATTTAAATTTTTTCTCCCTGTAAAAATCATAGTGATTATTGAGTACAGAAAAACTAACAACAAATCATTAAATTCAAGAATTCCATTAAACTTCCTAAAAGATTCTAGCATTTTTTTCATTAAAAAAAGATCTAGGCCTACTTCATAACATAATGTCAAATTAAAGACAATTTAGAATAAATAATTTAAATCTGAGGATGCAATTTCTTGGCATCATAAAGGTAACGAGTCACGTTAATGTGCTATTTTC